TATCAACTCGTTTAATCCTCATTTGGGGATAACTGAGGCACAATCATCAGAAAGACTCTCTACCTCTGCATTACAGATTCCTGACAATAGTTCTCTACCCACGAGAGTAGATCCTCAAATCTGGAAAAGTACAGCCATTTATTGGTCTGCCCAAAATGCTGTAATTGCATCATTCTCATTAATCCTCGCAGCAACCTATAAGATAAGCATTAATGTATTGCTCCCCTTGACTGACAATCACTAGTTTTTTCGGTAGGAGATAAAATAGATTACAGATAGGCACAAATTATTTGCGGCTCCTCCCATCAAGAAGTGGAAGCTATTTCCTTCTCCCTTGAATCTGGGCTAGTCCCATGAATTACTCTGACCAATCGAAGATGATGAAAGGTACACAGTGCTAGTTCTAGGCTAAGGCCTTGTCCTGGCACCTTCTCCCTTCACACTCCAGGAACCCAGCTGCCATGCTATAAGTCCAAGCTATCCTGCTGAAGAGAAAGATCACTTGGTAAGGACCTGGAGGATGAGACACCACATAGGGAGAAAAAAGAAAGAGAGAGAGAGACTGAAACCATGTAGAGGAGACAAAATCACTCTAGCGACAATCAGTACCCAGGCCCCATATCTGTGAGAAAGGTGTCCTTGAATATTCCAGCCAGCTTCTACCAACCTAATGCAGCCGCAGGAGAAACCTCAAAGAAGACCAGCAGAACTTCCAGTCAACCCTCAAAACAATGAGAAATAATAAATCCTTGTTTTTAAGGCAAAAAAAAGAAAAAAAGTAAGGGGGGTTGGGGGGAAAGCAGCCCTGACATCCAGGAAGTGATCTGCCACTCACAATTACAGTTCAGGTTGTCTGAAGTTGGCCTGGTGCTCATAGCTAGGCCATGTTATTCTGTTGGACAAAAATCATCTCACAAGACACCAACATCAGATAATTCTAAATTGAGACAAAACCAGACAGCTTCATAATTTTGAATTGTTACGAATTACAGCTTTATCCTCACTCTAGTCTGCCCTCCCTAGAGATAAGATTTATTGAGATACCCAATCATAGCATTGCCCCAGCTTCCTGACAGTACCGAATCTAGAGGAAATCCTGATTCCTTCTACCCTCCCCAATCAACTCAATGGCAATGGGTAAAATCACCCAAGTAAAGCCAAATCTTATGATAGGTTCTTTCTCACCCCTGTGTAAAGAAGCCCCATGGTTCCCTATGGTGTGCATTCTCCCTTACTGAAACATGTAAAAAACACAACTTATTCAACTACAGGTATGCTCCTGGTGGTCTTCGGCTGAAGGGCATTGACATGTTACCCTTTTGTCTGGCAAATTGTTTTATGTGTCAAGTTTGATTATGGGCTTGGATATTTGTGAGTTTCTGTTTGTCATTGAGAAGTTTTTAATTTTTCTTTATTGTTTTTCAACTTTGTTTCATGCTTAGAGAATCCTTTTCACTCCATAATTGTAAATATTTCATGTATATTTTCATCTAGGTAGAAACAATGAGGAAAAGGGGTCTGAAGATGAGGGAAACAGAAAATGTTTGAATTTGGGAGAAGTGGAGAGAGCAATAGGTAAAGAATTATAACGTGGTGGAATTCTAAGGTTTTAAGTTCGTGTTTCATAATTTAAAAAATATGTCTACAGGGCCTATAGGGTATTTGATATCTGTGATAGTGAATAAATACATTCTCTTGGGCTAAGTGAAGACTTGTTTGCCTCCTTGTGTTCACCAGGTTAAAGAAAACAAAAACATCAAGAAGCCCAGTGATATTTAGACAAAGATTGGCACCAGGGATGGACACTTGACAACACTTGTGACTTTCAGGTGGTAAGTCATGTTTTGGCTAATGTTTATATACTCTAGTTATTCAATACCTATTAATTAAACTTTTATGGGCACTCTGGATTTTAAGGATATGTCTGAGACCCATGTAGAAAAATCTATAGCTTTTAAATAAACATAATTTTAATATACTCCAGTCTATAAATCACACAGTATTATTTTGGGGAAGAGACTGAAAATTCAGAATACTCTGTCAAATATGGTAGCTACTAGCCAGGTGTGGCTATTTAAATTAATACAATAAAATTAAAAGTTCAACTGCTCAGTTGCACTAGCCACATTTCAAGTGCTCAGTAGCCACACATGGCTAGTGGTTACTGTGTTCGACAGCACAGATACACATCTCCTTCATCACAGAAAGTTCTATTGACAGCACGGCTCTTGATGGTTTATGGACCTCAAGTCAGTTGCCTTAGACCCATTTATAATGAGGGGTCCTTATTATTTATCCCACAGATTGCATCAGATTTCCAACTGTCTGGGATATGGATATACATTAAGCTGGTGTGTAACAAAACCAAAACAGGTCATGAGTGAATCTCTATCTGGTGCCTCCAGGCACAAATGTTCCCAGCCCCAAAAGGGAAACATCATTCCCTCCACCTCAGTTTTCTGACTGAGGACACTCTCTGGCATTAAATTTCCAGGGGATGATTTCTCTTCTAGAAGAGCCCATGAGAAGAGGCCTAAGCTAAGCTTTGGGGGGCAGAGAGCCCAGCTCAAGGAGAGGAATTCTGGGAAGTAAAGAGGAGGCAAAGAGGCTGGGGCCATTTAAGGGACTCCCTGGTTTACTCAGAACAGCAGTTCTCAAACTGTAGTCTGTGGAACTTAGAGTCACTGAGATCCTTTCACAAGATCCATGAAGTCAAAACTATTGTCGTAACATTACAGGCAATCCCCAGGTTATGAATGAGATCCTTTCCTAAATCTGTCTTTAAGTCGAATTTGTAGGTAAGTGGAAACCCTGGTGCTGTAGTGGTGAAGACCTAAGGCTGCTAACCAAAAGGTCAGCAGTTCAAATCTGCCAGGCACTCCTCGGAAACTGTATGGGACAGTTTTACTCTGTCCTATAGGGTCACTATGAGTCAGAATCGATTCAACGGCAACTGGTTTTCAATGGGTTTTTGTAGGTAAGTCAGAGCAGGTACACAGGTTCTTATTGAGAGTCAGTTAGTCAAATGTTTGTCTTAGTATATAGTATGTATTTTACCTTTCTATGCATATAAAACACTTAAGAAACACTTCTAAATACACTAAAACATCTTAAACACAAATGTTACAAAGTAGTGCAGGCATTCGTTATTATGAACTCTTGTGTTTAATGCAAATAGGCTTTGCGGCAGTGCATTCTGAAGTACCAGTTGTCCATAAATCAGACATTCTTAACCCGGGGGCTTACTGTACTAAGAAATTTTTAGTCTTTTTCACTGTGTTGATTCTTGCACTGAGGTAAATCAGCTGGGAACTTAGCAAGAATCAAGGCTGTGTCATCAAACTGCAGTAGTAATTGTATTCTTCATCTTCACCTACTTGCAGGAAAAAAACAAAAACAAAACCAATGTCACTTAAAGGTGTACTGATTGAAGCATTGAAAGTTATTATCCTTATTGAATCACCATCCTCAAGTCCACATCTTTTAATATCCTATGTGATGAAGTGGGAAGTATATATAAAGCACCTCTCCTACATTCCAAAGGATATTTGTCTCAAGGAAAATAATTTGTGATCTGAACTAGCTTCTTCTTTTTTTTAATGCAATAGCATTTTCACTTGAAAGAAGGAATGACAGAGAAACTGTCTTGGATATTAGGCACTTTATTGAAAATTAATAATTAGCTAGCCTGTGACTTTAAGGAAACCAACTGATAGTATTGTTGTCAATGATAAAATGTAACCTTTCAAGAGATTAGAACATTGGAAAACTTGTGTCCACCACAAGCTTGACAGCTTTCTGAAATTTACAAACTTTTCTGCTGGAATCAGTGGTAATACTAACAAAGGTGACTTTTTCATATTTTGTAATGAAATGTGTCAACACTGGAAGATCTGCATACTCAGGGAACTAATGCATCACTTAAAAAAATCACACATTAGTACAAGATTCATTCAATGTGCAAGATGGACGTATGGGTTTTAATGAACAGAATACAAAATATTCAATAATAGGGTTTCCCATTGAAACTAACCTTTAAGAAACTACCACTTCGGTAGCTTTAGTGAAGTATCAAAGATGAACATTCACAATTACTTGGAAAGGCTATTAAAAATACTCCTCCTTTTTCCAACTTCATATTTGTGTGACACTGGATTTTTTTGTATACACCTCAACCAAAATAACAGATTGCAGAAGCAGATACGAAAATCCAGAAGCCTTCTACTGACACAGATAAGAAAGAGACGTGCAAAAATGTAAAATGATCCACTCTTCTCCCTACATTATTTTGGAAAATATTTATTTTGTACGAAAATATACTGTATCTGTTAACGTTTAATGGGTTATTAATATTATTTTTAATTAATTTAAAAGTTTAATCTCTTTCAATTTCTCATATGGTTAATATCTGTAGATATAACCCACATAAACAAAATCTCTTTGGGTTCCTCATTAATTTGTAAGAGTAATAGAAATTCTAAGGAGCCCTGCTGGCTCAGTAGTTAAGCTCTTGTCTGCTAAGCCAAAGGTTGCTGGTTGGCACCCACCAGCTGCTCTGCAGAGGAAAAGACCTAGTGATCTACTCCTTTAGATATTATAGCCTAGGAAACCCTGTGGGGCAGTTCTACTCTGTCATTTCGGGCCGCTATGAATCCACTCCAGGGCAAACAACCACAACAACAACGACACAGAGATTCTGAAAGTAACAAAAACGTCTGACTTAAGCAGGCCCTGGCCCAGGACTCAAGGAGACCGTGTAGCAAACAAGGCTCGGTGCAGGAGGAGAGGGGTCAGGGCAAAGTCCCAGTCCCCGGGCAGGCACTCAGGTCCGATGGCAGCGTCAGGGGTGGGGTGGCCTAGTGTTGGGGATTCCCCATCTCCCCGGAGTTTCACTTCTCCCTCTCACAACCTGTGTCAACCCCTTCTGCCTGTACACACATGACGCGGCCCCAGTTCTCACTCCAATTGGGTCTCCGATTTCTGGAGAAGCCAATCACCGTCACCGCGGGTCCCGGTTACAAGGAACTGCAGTACTCGGGTCATGGCACCCTGGACCCTCCTCCTGCTGCTCTTGGGGGTCCTGGTCCTGGCCATGACCCAGACCCGGGCTGGTGAGTGCGGGATTTCGGGGGAAACGGCCTCTGGGAGGGAGGAACGAGGGGACCGCCCGGCGGTGACACACAACCCTCGGGGAAGCCCCATCCCCGCCGCGATCCCCCTGTCCTCGCCCCCATCCACCCCCGCCCCCTTCCCTCCCACCCCGATGTCCCGGCCCTGCTCTTCTCGCCGCCCCTTCTCCGTCCACGAGCCCCCTCTCCTCGATCCGCCGCCATCGACCTCGGACCCGGGCGCCCCGCGGGGAGGGGGGTCGGTGGTCTCAGCCGCTCCCCGCCCGCAGGCTCCCACTCCCTGAGGTATTTCCGCACCGCCGTGTCCCGGCCCGGCCCCGGGGAGCCCCAGTACATCCTCGTCGGCTACGTGGACGACACGCAGTTCGTGCGGTTCGACAGCTACGCCGCGAATTCGAGGATGGAGCCGCGGGCGCCGTGGATGGAGCAGGAGGGGCCGGAGTATTGGGACGAGCAGACACGGATCGCCAAGGGCAACGCACAGATTTCCCGAGTGAGCCTGCGGACCGCGCTCGGCTACTACAACCAGAGCGATAACGGTGAGCGACGGCGGCCCGGGTCTCATGTCACGGGTCCCCTCGTCCCCACGGACGAGTCACCCCGAGTCTCAGGGTCCGGAGTTCTCCCCAAGGCCACGGGACCCGCCCGTGAACACCGCGGATATTCGATCCCGTTTCGATTTCAGTTTAGATCCAAACGGGCTCTGCCCAGTCCCGGCCGGTCTGTGGTGGTGGGGGCGGGGCTGACCGCGGGGGCGGGGCTAACCGCGGGGGCGGGGCCAGTGTCTCACACCTACCAGAGGATGTATGGCTGTGAAGTGGGGCCCGACGGGCGCCTCCTCCGCGGGTACAGTCAGTACGCCTATGACGGCGCCGACTACATCGCCCTGAACGAGGACCTGCGCACGTGGACGGCGGCGGACACGGCTGCTCAGATCACCCAGCGCAAGTGGGAGAAGGCCCGGGCGGCCGAGAATGTGAAGGCCTACCTGGAGGGCAAGTGTGTGGAGTCGCTCCGTCGGTACCTGGAGAACGGGAAGGAGATGCTGCAGCGCACAGGTACGAGGGGCCGCGGGACTTGGTGCCTCCTCCAACTCACTTTAAGCTGGGGCTGTGTTCCCTCCTGGCCTCTCGAAAGGAGGGGAGGAAAATAGAATAGACCCTAGACTACCCTCTTCTCCCATGGGTGTGGAGAGTGAGGCTTTAGCCCCGATTTCCAGATCCTGTACCAGAGAGTGATTTCCCCAGAGGAGCCCTCCTTTCAGATACAGTTAAAGGATCCAGTCTCTCTGGGGATAGTAGAGGAGATGATTCCTGATTGATCAGCAGTTCTCTTTGATCCTGGAATCGACCTTGGGAACCAACCACCAGGAACTTTTTCTCTCCAGCCTTGTTCTCCGCCCCACACCCAATGCGTTTGGAGGTCTGATTCCAGCCTTTCTGAGTTTCTCCACTTCCACCCAAGTCAGAACTAGAAATCCCTGTTCTCAGACACCTGGAGCCTCCTACTCTGGGTTGCCTCACCCTGATTCTAGAACTTTCCAAGGAATAAGAGATTATCCCGGATCCCTGGTCCAGGCTAGTGTCTGGGTTTTGCACTCCCTCCCCCATCCCACTTGTCGGGTCCATTCTCAGGATGGTCACATGAGCACTGCTTAGGTGGCCCATGGGAGGTGATGGAAAGTTTCTGAATTTTCTTATTCCTTCAGATGCCCCAAAGACACAGGTGACTCACCACCCCATCTCTGAACATGAGGTCAAGCTGAGGTGCTGGGCCCTGGGCTTCTACCCGGCGGAGATCACCCTGACCTGGCAGAGGGATGGGGAGGACCAGACCCAGGACATGGAGCTTGTGGAGACCAGGCCTGTGGGGGACGGGACCTTCCAGAAATGGGCAGCTGTGGTGGTGCCCTCTGGAGAGGAGCAGAGATATACGTGTCATGTGCAGCACGAGGGGCTGCCCAAGCCTCTCTCCCTGAGATGGAGTAAGTGGGGGAGACAAGGGTGGAGCCTCTTCTCAGGGAAAGCAGGGGCCTTTCTGGGCACCTGCAGCAGGGTCACAGCCCCTTACTTCCCCTTCCTTTCCCAGAGTCCCATTCTCAGTCCACTGTCCTCATCATGGGGATCATTGCTGCCCTGGTTCTCTTTGTCATTGTGGCTGTGGTGGCTGGAGCTGTGATCTGGAGGAAGAAGAGCTCAGGTATAGGGGTTGGGCCTGAGTTTTCTTGTCCCACTGCAGAGTTTCAAGTCCCAGGTAGGAGTCTGCCTGCCTTCTGCCTCTACTGTGAAGCACCATCCGCACACCTGTGCATACCCAGCCTAGGGACCTGTGTGCTAACACTTACTCACATGAGGACAGATTTTTCACCTTGATGATTCTGGTGATGGGGACCTGATTCCCATAGTTGCAGGTCAGAGGGAAGGTCCCTGCTGAAGACAGACCTCTAGGAGGGTGATGGGTCTAGTCCCTGCACATCTCTTCTGTTCTTGTCCTGAGCCTGCCCTGGGTCTGCAGTCACGGTTCAGGGGTCCAGGATTAGCTGCCTCTTCTAGGACCTCATGGTCCTGCCTCCTCCCCGGTCTCTCAAAGGATATTTTCTTCTCACAGGTGGAAACAGAGGGAACTATGCTCTGGCTGCAAGTAAGTATTGAGGAGTGTGGTCCCTGAGACCTTTGGGGTAGTGTAGATGGGACCCCGTGGGGGAGCCCCCCACCCTATTAAAAAAAAGACCAAACCCACTGCCGTGGAGTCGATTCTGACTCATAGTGACCCTACTGGACAGAGTAGAACAGTCCTACACGGTTTCCAAGGAGCACCTGGTGGATTCAAACCGCTGACCTTTTGGTTAGTAGCTGTAGCTCTTAACCACTACACCACTAAGGTTTCCCCCCACCCCATAATTCCTCCTATAGTCTCACTTCCTCCTGTGGGCTCTGACCAGATATTTTTGTTGTTCTTCTTCAGGCAGCGACAGTTCCCAGGGCTCTGATGTGTCTTTCATGGCTTCTAAAGTTGAGACCCTGGGGCCTGACATGGGAGAGGGGTTGGGACAGAGGGCACACAACTTGGTTATGGGGATTCTTTGTATTTGGACATTTTGAGCATGTGGTGGGCTATTCAGTATATCAACACTTAACAGTGACTAACCCAAATGTGTTCGCGATTACTTTCTTCTATAGCATGAGACTGCTGCCTTGTGTGGCACTGAGTGATACAAAATTTGTTCACCACCACCACCCCCCACCCCTGGACTTTGTGACATCAAGAAAGCCTGACTTCGTTTTCTGCAGCTGGTGTCTGAATGTGTCTGTGTTCCTGTCAGCATAATATGAGGACATGGGGAGAATAGCCCTGCCCCACCTACAAGGACCCCCTCCCCGCACTGAACTGTGTCCCTGGCCTGATCCATGTTCCTGTTCCAGGAGAGGCAGGACTGGGAAATCTCCATCCCTGTTGTAACTTCCTGTTGCTCTGATCAGCAATGTCTCACTTCCCTGTTGCAGATGAGAATCTGGATATTAATTTGTTTTTTCAAAATCTTGCTATAAAGTGTGGTTGATGGAAGAAATATGTGGTGATCTGCTTCATAAAGACTACAGCCTGGAAAACCTATGGGGCAGTTCACATGGGGTTGCTACGAGTCTATCAACCAAACAGCACCCAAAAACAACCACAACATAACTGCCTTAGGCTGGTTCTCTAGAGAAGTAAAACCA